TGAAGACTATTGTGAGAAAGCACAAAAGTTTTGTAACCAATTGACACACTGTAAGTAATTGGAGAAAGGTTTTTATACTTTGTGTGTGTTTATGTTTGCTTGTTTTAAAACACACATACACACAAACACACACACACACATATGTATAAAATAATAAAAAAATAAAATAAACACCAGCTCTGCAAGGAGGCATATTCAGATCTAAAGTGCGTGTTTCTTCTATTAAAAGAGTGAATATTGCAATAGATTTCTGGATGCAATTCCAAATACCAGTTTTGACTGATAAAACCCTATATAGCTTGGCTTGGTGCTAAAGTGCCAATAGAATCGCTGTTCTGCTCTAATAGCAGTAGCACTTAGACTTATATACTGCTTCATAGTGCTTTACAGCCCTCTCTAAGTAGTTTACAGAGTCAGCATATTGCCCTCAACAATTTGGGTTCTCATTTTACCCACCTCAGAAGGATAGAAGACTGAACCTGGTGAGATTTGATCGGCCCAACTGCCTGGCAGCCAGCAGTTAGCAGAAGCAGCCTGCAGTACTGTACTCTAACCACTGAGCCACCCCTGCTCTAAACTGAGTTGTTCCACCTGAGATGATCTTCTCTGGGGAAGCCACTAGTGGTGGTGTCCCATTTTTATGATGCCAGAAAACATTCTTCATCCAGGGTATCTAAAAAGATTATAGAATAGCCCCCTGTAATTCCCAATGCTAGGATGATCTCTTTAGTGATAGCCTTCTTTCTGTATTTCTCAATGTTTATGTTTTATGACTACTATGCAAACTGTTGGAATCCATAAGAATAGTTGGGGGTATGCACATTAACTAAATAACTGTGTTTTAAAATTTTAAAATATTTAGAGTTTTCTAAAAATGTAACCTTCCTTACATACCATTTAACCAATCATCTTGGTTCTGCTCCGTCCTGATGTAGTTTTGTTCAGGATTGTCAAGATGAGTTCGGAAGAAAGCAGCATTGTTTCCCATGAAGTCAGTGGAGGTGCCTGAATAAAGTTCCCCATCTAGGAAACCCAGGAGAGAAATCCATGGATAAAACACTTGCATCTTCTTTCTCTTGTACACTTTATTTTATATATGAGCATTTATCGGTATCATTCATAAATCATTAAATCGATGTATAGTGTATGCTAATGAATAGACTATGTTTTATGTAGACTGGTACCACAGTACTCTTCGTTAATTGGTTCTGGGAAGCACGATGAGTACAAAAAATGATGAGTACCAAACAAAATTTTCCCATAAGGAATAATGTAGTGAGTCACAAGGCAATCGACATTGGCAAATTCTAGCTTGTGCATTGAGTACAAAACAAATGATGAGTACCGGGACTAAATTTTCCCATAAAAATGTGTTGAGTACCAAATTCAATGAGTTTCAAAGCAGTTGAGTCCCAACCTACAACTATATATGCATATGAATATCTGCCTTGCACACACACCACACAAAAGGATGCCTCTCATAATTTTATTCTGTACATTTTGAGCGAGGAATGTAAAGTGAGCTAGCATACAGCTGGTGCCTTTCTCCTGGCTTTCAACAGATAAAGTGCTTCCTGAGATAAGACACAGTATCATGGGAAAAATACAACAGATATCTCTGTTGAATGGATGTTTATATATATATAAATATAAATAATATGATATGCAATGAACAACAAGGTGCCAAGGTGTTGCATTTGTGCTGATAAATAAATAGAGACTAGTATAGATCTATTTCAAGCTATTTAGCTCTCATCAGCTAGCCATACCCTTACTGGGATTTGAACCTGTGCTGTATTACATATTAAGCAGTTGTGTTAACCACTAAGCCACAAGATTCTCCTCCTTTATCATAGATCTATACTAGTCTCCCTTTATTTATTTATCAGCACAAATGCAACACCTTGGCACCTTGTTGTTCATTGCATATCATATTATTTATATTTATATATATATAAACAT